TGTGGGATCCGAACCCTCGGGCGGGAGCGCCGCCGCGCTTCCCAAGCGGCGCACTATCCAGTGCGCAACTGGGCCGGCCCTTATTCTACAAAATTAATGACTGTTTTGAACCTCTACAAGGAAGGCCAATTATTTTCGGCAACACGTAACTTCAATGACTAGACAGTCTTATTTTTTTTAAAAAATTATTTTAATTGACATTGTAATTTTATGGGGTACAATCTGATATTTTGATAAATACATATGTTGTATGATGATGGGGTCAGGGTAGTCAGTGCATCCCTCACCTCATGCACTTATCTTTTCTTTGTGGTGAAAACATTCAAAAGTCTCTGCTCTAGCTGCTATGTAATACACAAAACTTAACTGTTAACCATAGTCACCCTGCTGTGCCACAGAACATCAGAACTCACTGCTCCTCTCTAACTGTAATTTTGTACCCATTCGCCAGCCTCCCCCTGTTTTCCCTTTCCCTCTTCCCTCCCCAGTCTCTGGTAACCACTGTTGTACTCTCCGCCTCTGTTAGATATTCTCATTTTTGTCAATAAAGTCAGAAATTCAAACTTTTATGTGATATCCACTGGTTTTAAAAATGTTAATATTTCAAAATTTAAAAAAATTCTGTGGGCCAAGTGTATGTTGTATGTTAGATTTGGCCCACAAACTGTAGACTACTACCTCTGACAGAAGTATGCTTTCAAATTTACAGATAATACATTAGAAAGGACAGCCTAGACGCTGAATGTAACAGATCAATATTTGAATTTCAGAACCAATTAGATGCAATTTGACAGGAATAAATGTAAAATTCTGTATTTAGGTAAAAAAGCCAATTATTTAGGTGTATAAAAAGATAGTTTCATAATCAGTTCAAGAGAAAAACAGCAAGTGCCAACCTACGGAAGCCCTTCTAAGCAGAAAGGTCTTGTAAGGACACTGCGCCTGTCCTGCTCCTCCAGCTCAGGTAGTGGGAGCTTGGGCTGAAAATGCTGATCTCTGTTTCAGCTGGCAATACCTTCTTCTTCGGGGCACATGGGGCATGATAATTCTGATATGGTCAACGAATAGATAGAGATTGACATGCTTGGGATCTCTGATAGAGTTATAAAGAACAACTTTCCCTTATCAACTATTGATTATCCTAAAGTATAGCTTGCACAGGAAAAGCAAGACAAATGCTCCTTTCCCTCATTTACCTCTTTTCAGAATAATGAGGTGCTTCCTTTGAACCCTCTAATGGTGACCAACAAGTTCATCACTATGAACTTATAAATTTAAGCATATCGAATGCTTTAAAATTGTAATTGTCCTCCTACTGGTTCTCAAATCGTCTGATCTCTGGTCAGCGGAAGTTTATCAGTTTGGCTACTGAATCCTTTTGTTATAATTCCAATAATTTTTTATATTTGTTTTTGTTTTTGCTATATTTGTTGTCTTCTTGTTTATCTTTGACAAGATATTCTAGGCTCACATTGTACATTTCTTTTCCAAGACCTGGGATCAGACATTTTCCCATGCAGCACTAATTTCTTTCAGTGGGCAATGGTATTTAAAGACTACAATTTGTGCACTGCTGCTGGGTTATGCATGTCACTACGCTAAAAAGTATATATTTTTTGCAATTAAAATGCCTCCTAAGTTTGTACTGACACTTCTAATTCAAAACTAGGACTACAGGGTAAATTAACCTTCATTTTACATCTTTGTCAACCTAACCAGTTCTTAGTCACATGTAATTACTATTTTGATTTATCCTACAATACATGTTAATAGCTTCAGAATACCAATATGAATACTACAATCAACTTTGGGATTAATGAAAACAGCTAATATTTCTGGGTAGGGGGTAGATATTTTTTGTCCTTAGAATATAGTCCAGCAAAAATGTATAGTCAACTTACTGTGTTTTAAAGTCACTTGAAGTTTCTAAGAGGCTGCACTACCACTGCTCACAATTAATTTCATTTTTCCTTAACACTTTTACTGATTTGTTTATATAAAATATTAACATAGTTCTAAAATTAAATCAATATTGTTAGTAATCTCTTTTCTTTCCCCCACCTTATTGAAAGTACTCTTACTCCTAGTTAATACCAATAAAGCAAAAAGCAAGTTTATTCAACTTTTAATATAGACTCCCCTCTCACCCCATCTTCTTCTCATTTTTGAAATTACGCCCTATCTATTTTATGTGCTATACGGTTTCCCTAATAATGGTAATACCAATAAAGCAAAAAGCAAGTTTATTCAACTTTTAATATAGACTCCCCTCTCACCCCGTCTTCTTCCCATTTTTGAAATTATGCCCTATCTATTTTATGTGCTATACGGTTTCCCTAATAATGATCATTTAATCTTAATTTCATAGGCAAAATAAACATAGTGTTAACCACCAGTCCTTACATCAAAATCTCTCATGTCTTTTTGGTTATTGGAAGGTTATTCTCCTATAGATTTCTCAGGAGCATTCCTAGAAACAATAATCCCTGATTTCCCAAATGATCATATATCAGTCTATGGTCTTTATACCTAAAGGTTGGTCTGGCTCGATATAAAATCCACAGCTTGCCATTTTCTTTCTTTGACTACTTTCAATATGTTACTCCATTAACTTCTGGCATAAAGCACGGGTGATGACATTGTGCTTTTCTTTCCCTTATGAACCAATAATTTTACTTAATTATCTCTCAGTGTTGGCCATTCTAAACTGCATTCCTAGATATGGAGTGTGCCCTTTCAACAAAGGTAAGGTAACTTCAAAAAGTTCATGGAAAAATAGAATTAAAAGATATTATGAATCTTTCCATAAATTTTTTGAAGGTAACTCATAGTTTTAAATAGTATTTCATTTACTTTCTTGCAGTTTTTTGCATTTGTTTCGTTCTATTACTTTTAGTTTTCTTCTTCAGGATGCCACTAACACTTATGTTGAATCTTTTTTGGTCTATTTTAGATATCTTTTGTTTTCTTTTGAATCCTCTGGGGGTTTTTTGTTTGTTTTTTAAATTTTAAAAACTCTCCTCCTTTCTACCTTTTCTTTCTCTTAAGGCTTTATCCATGGTGTTTTATTTGCTTTTGTATTTTTTCTAGTTTAGTCTGCATTTATGGTATGATTTTATTTCTAATTCTTTTCTGAGTTCTGTCATCTCTTCAAACCTTCCTTTTTCACTATCTTATTTCTGAGTTTAAAAATTTGTTTTATGTTATTCTTTCACAGCATCTATCATTTTCTAAACTTCTATTAGTTCATTTTGAAATATTAGGTTACATACAGTTTGATTGTCTTGTGGGCATGTCTTTTTGGTGGATTTTCACTGCCTCTAGGGATATTATTCAACTCCCTATTTTCTTTTCTCTCATATTAACTTGCATAGGATTAGACTGAAATCCTTTCTTTTGCTCATGTTTTAAGTGAAATAAAATTTCCTATCCTTTTAGGAGAATGGATCACAAGTGATTTTATAGCTTCATGGCTCTAGAGTTGTTTTCCCCAAGTGACAGAGAATATGGCCTCATACTGTGAGATCCAGCACCTCTGCTCCCCTCCCCTACTAGGACCTGGATCTCTTCTTTCCTTTGCCCCACTGTCTGTCTTACTCAAGCTGAACTCTCTTCCCAGTAGTTTCTCTGCAGTTACTTTTAAAAGGTTATATGGCTAAGAAGGTTACAGTGTCATGGAAGCTTGGCAATCACAGACCTCTGGCATTCAGCTACAAGTTCATCCTGCATTACTCCTTTCTCAGTTTTGGCTGCTACTCTCAGATTGTCCTCCAAGCTCCAGTGAAACATGGTGGCCAGTTCCTACTATCAGAGCTGTCAGAATCCCAGGCAGCTTTCCCTCCATAAAGATCCTGGTTCATGATGAGCTCCACCCACTCATATTTGGGGGGGTCACATGGGTGACTTGTCACTACTTTTGTTGTAGATGTTGACTGTGTAGTTTTTAATTTTACTATCCAAGTTGCTCTGTTTTTATAGTGGGATTCCAGCAGACAAAAACTATGCCATGCCTTTTTCCCAGAATCCTCTATAATTGACTCTTTTTGGTAATTTACATATTTTTAGCTTTCCTTGCAATTCTAAACTTATGAAAAACGTTTTATTTCTTTCTGTCTTTGTTGTTCCTCAAAGTGAGTTTTATATTCAACAATCTGAATTCTTTTTAGGTACCTTTCATAGTCACCTATCTCTATTTCCTAATGCCACTAAATTTAGGTGCTCCAAATGTTTACCTTTCCCTCTACTTAGAACCCTAAATTAACTACATTTTATAAAAATTACAGAGAACATTAGCAAAATTAAAACTGACAAGAACCAATCCCAAAAGAACAGTATTTAAAATAATAGTCAGTGATGAAAAAATTTACTTAGCTAAAAACTACCTTATATCAACAAGAGAGCATTCCAAAGATAACCTTCTCATTGTCTTCAGATTTTCTTGAAGTTCTCTTAAACAGTTAATATTCACCACTTGTTCAACACCCACGTCATACAGCAAGACCTATGAAAACAACAACTTTAAGTCTATGGAAAGTCAACACTTCAAAATGTTTTTTTGCAAACTGCAAAGCATAATAAAATTTGGATTAAATAACTACAGGAAAAAACACAAAGTGCACTTATGTTCATGATTACATTTTTAACTCTGCATTTACCTCTACCAATGTGTCTGTAACCATTCTGATGATCTGGCCTCTTCTCCACTCATTTTTATCTGGGATCTTAACAGCACAGTGCATACGATTTTCCCATTTAATAGGTTCCCATTCTGAGTTTTCATAAGCAGCTATCATCTTTTCTTCTAAACTATATAGAGATAAAAAAAAAATTAACTTTCTAAACCTTTTCTTATAATACATAACTCTCTGGCCACATGATTTCTTCTTGCCCCCTAAACCCCCTGGCTCACTCCACTCTAGCCAAACTGAACACCTTGTTCTTCCTTGAGTATACCAAGCATGTTTCCACCTCAGGTCTTTGAACTAGCTCTGCCCTCTGCCTGAGATGAGCTTCCCTCAGATACCAACATGGCTTACTCCCTCCCTCTTTCTTCAGGGCCCATTTCAAGTGTCACTATGTCTTTGAGGTCTTCCTTGGCCATCCTGAGATTGCCTTCCTCCCTAAATGCTTTACTTTTCTCTTGTCATCATCATCTGTCACACAAAAAGTTTTATTTGCTGTCTCTCTCTTTACTAGAATTTAATCTCCAGGTCAGCAAAGACTTGTCCATGTTTTTGCCAATGTATCCCTAACATCTAAAATACTATCATATAGTAGGTGCTCAATAAGTATTTGGAATGAATAAATACAGTAAAAAGAACCAACAGAAATACTATTTTAATACTTTTAACTAGAGAATATTTTAGTTGAAATAATTTGGCTACTTTTAAGATCTTTGAAACAAAATACAGAAAGAATAAAATCATATGCAATATTTGTTTTCCTTATATGTTATACCTGTTAAGTAAGTTGTCTGTTAATAACCACTGAACATAAATCTTCTCAGGAGATATTACATTACAGATATACACAGACAGTTCCTTATTGTAAAGTGACTGGAAATTCTCATTGGGTAGGGATTTTCCAGGCACAGGATTTAAGTTGTTTACTTCATTTGAAATAATTTCTTCTGGAGAAGGATCCCATACTTCAATATGCTTTTTAGAATTATTTTTGATGGTGTATCTGAAAAATAACAAAAGGTAAAGCAAAAAGAATAGTTTGCAAAACACTTAGGTTTGTATTTGCTTAGGTATAGAGGTGAACAAGTTTTAGCTATGATTTACTGCTTCCCAGTTTTGATATTAATAACAACTTTTGTCATTTTTTTAAAGCTTTTTTTTGGCAGCTTACCAGTACAGGGATCCAAACCCTTGACCTCAGCGTTACTACACCACGCTCTAACCAACTAAGCCAACCAGCCAGTCCCCGAAAAAGAGGTCTTAATCAACACCAACATAAGCACAAAAAGAAAAAAAGCTAAAAACAAAACTTTCTATTTAAAAAAGACACTTAAAAATACCAACTTCACTCATAACTTCAACTGTTCCCATTGATATTTCATACTCACAAAGGAGAATATTTCAGAGTTTGACAATATTTGAATATTGAATATTTCTCTTTGGTTAAAAAGTATCAATCCGTTTGCCAATGAGAAGTGAAAAAAATATTATTAAGACATATTAAAGAAGCAAAATTATTAAATGAAGCGTTTTATTAAATTGAACTGTTTAATAAGTTTGAACTCTAACCACAGATAATTAGATGTTATTTTTTATTTGTATACAGGAAAAACTTAATTTCTTTCACAATAAGCTGAGATTTATCTAACCAAGGTTACTAACAATTTTTGTTGCTAAATCCAATGGACACCCTCACTTGAACTCTCAGCACTTGCTGCTCTTTGCTTCTTGAGATACATTCTTGTTTCCTGATTTTTCTTCAGTCTCAAGCTCCTGATCTACCATCTTTTAGACTTCTCTTTCTTTCATGTAAGTGATAATTCTCAGGGTTGTGTCTTCATCAAGAGAGATTGAAATGGATAATGAGCAAGGATTTCATTTATCCTCATGGTATTATTTATCTATTATTTATTTATTATTTATATGCTGCTAACCCCATCTGAATCACCTAACCAGGTCTCACTTCTGAGTTTCAAATTTATATATTGATGAGGGTACTTGAAAAAGTTTGTGGAAAAACAGAATTAAAAGATAATACAAATCTTTCCACAAACTTTTTGAAGTACCATCATATTTCCTCCATTCAGCTAACATTTCCTGGGTACATACTGAGCCAAGTGTAGTGCTAGATGCCAGAAACATGGCAATGAAGAAAGTAGGCAAGGCTCTTGTCTTCATGGAGTTAATAGTAATAACAATACTAAGAGATTACATAATTCAACAAATAATAAATTATCAAAGTTACAAAGGAAAAGAACAAGGGTAGAGGTCAACAGAATCTAATCTAGTCTGGGAGCTGGAAGGTTTATCTGACTGGTGACATTTCAGCTGAGATTTAAAAAGGGTAAGTAGGAATTAGCTAGACATTGCAGGAACCAAAAGGAACACGTGGCTTTGACATAGAAAGCTAACAGGAAATGGCATGAGACTTGAAGTAGGCATGGGCTAGATTACCTGGGCGACATTATTTTTTATTTTATAAAGGGTGGTGGGCAATGTATACAATACAGTTGAGTCTAACAAAGAGGCTAGGAGACTGGAATTTCTCTTTCTTTTCTTTTCATTCCTCAGGTGATCAGGGCAGGCACTGATCAAGGGAAGCTCATGTCCAAATTTGAGGATGGGCAGTAGATACAATACAAACAGTCCGATTGCAACAATCAGACAATAGGAACGTGGGTTTCAGAGCGCAAGGAGATTGGTTTAGGCTGCCAGAGTACCAGAGGTGGATTTACTTAAATGGAGTTTAAGCTTCAGGACCCCTCACTTGCATGGGTCCCCTAGGAGGAGCCAAACTAATGTGTTTTTGAAAATATTCCAAAAGATTTAAAAAGTTTTAAAAAATTTAATACGGTAAATACACATAATGTAAAATTTTACTATCATATTATTTTCAGTGTACGTTTCAAGGAATTTAGTCATATTGTACAACTATCATCAACATCCATCTCCAGAATTCTTTTCATCTTGAAAACTGAAACTATCTACACCCATTAAACAATAACTCGCCATTACCCCCTACCCCTCGCCCCTGGCAATCACTATTATACTTTCTGTCTCTATGACTTGGACTACTCTAAGTACTTCATATAAGTGCAGTCATGTACTGTTTGTCTTTTTGTGACTGGCTTTCTTCACTTAGGATAATAAAGTTTCATCCATGTGCAGGCATATGTCAGAATGACCTTTTTAAAGCTAAATAATATTCTACTGCATGTATAAACTACATTTAGTTGATCCATTCATTCCTTGTGAACATCTGAGTTGCTTTCACATAAATGTGAATAGTACTGCTGTGAACATGGGTGCACATCCCTGCTTTCAATTCTTTCAAGTATATACCCAGAAGTGAAATTGCTGGACCATACAATAATTCTATTCTTTATTTTTGGGAAACCACCATACTGTTTTCATAGTGGGTATACCATTTTACATTCCCACCAATGGTTCCAATTTCTCCACTTGACTGGAATTTCTCTTTCTTTTCTTTTCATTCCTCAGGTGATCAGGGCAGGCACTGATCAAGGGAAGCTCATGTCCAAATTTGAGGATGGGCAGTAGATACAATACAAACAGTCCGATTGCAACAATCAGACAATAGGAACGTGGGTTTCAGAGCGCAAGGAGATTGGTTTAGGCTGCCAGAGTACCAGAGGTGGATTTACTTAAATGGAGTTTAAGCTTCAGGACCCCTCACTTGCATGGGTCCCCTAGGAGGAGCCAAACTAATGTGTTTTTGAAAATATTCCAAAAGATTTAAAAAGTTTTAAAAAATTTAATACGGTAAATACACATAATGTAAAATTTTACTATCATATTATTTTCAGTGTACGTTTCAAGGAATTTAGTCATATTGTACAACTATCATCAACATCCATCTCCAGAATTCTTTTCATCTTGAAAACTGAAACTATCTACACCCATTAAACAATAACTCGCCATTACCCCCTACCCCTCGCCCCTGGCAATCACTATTATACTTTCTGTCTCTATGACTTGGACTACTCTAAGTACTTCATATAAGTGCAGTCATGTACTGTTTGTCTTTTTGTGACTGGCTTTTTTCACTTAGGATAATAAAGTTTCATCCATGTGCAGGCATATGTCAGAATGACCTTTTTTAAAGCTAAATAATATTCTACTGCATGTATAAACTACATTTAGTTGATCCATTCATTCCTTGTGAACATCTGAGTTGCTTTCACATAAATGTGAATAGTACTGCTGTGAACATGGGTGCACATCCCTGCTTTCAATTCTTTCAAGTATATACCCAGAAGTGAAATTGCTGGACCATACAATAATTCTATTCTTTATTTTTGGGAAACCACCATACTGTTTTCATAGTGGGTATACCATTTTACATTCCCACCAATGGTTCCAATTTCTCCACTTCCTTGCCAACACTTTCCTGTTTTTTTGATAGTAGTCGTCCTATTGGGTGTGAGGTGGTATTTCATAGTGGTTTTAATTTACATTTCCCTAATGATTAGAGATGTTGAGCATCTTTTCAGGTGCTTATTGGCCATGTGTATATCTTCTTTGGAGAAATGTCTATTTAAATCCTTTGCTCATTTTTGAATTGGATTTTTTTGTTGTTGTTGAGTTTTAGGAGTCCTCTCTATATTCTAGATATTAATCCTTTAATTTGATGATTTGCAATTACTTTCTCCTATTCTGTGTGTTGTCTGTTTATTCTGTTAATAGTGTCTCCTGATGCATAAAAGTTTTAAACTTTCATGAAGTTTTTTTGGTCTTTTTTTTTTTTTTTTTAATTGCCTGTGCCCTTGGTGCCTATCAAAGAAATCACTGCCAAATCTAATGTCATTAAGCTTTTGCCCTATGTTTTTCTTTTAAGAGTTTTACAGTTTTAGGTCTTACATTTAAGTCACAGGTCCACTTTGAGTTAATTTTTTTTATATGATGTTAGGTAAGGGTCCAACTTCATTCTTTTGCATGTGGATGTGCATGTTTTCCCCATCACCATTTGTTGAAAAGACTGTCCTGTGCCAGTACCACATTGTTTTGATTACTGTAGGTTTGTAGTAAGTTTTAAAACCAGGATGTATAAAGTCCTCTGTGGAGTATACTTACATTTGTAAAGCAAATATATTTCACCGGGCCCAGCTGGCAAAGCCATGCAGTTTCAGGTTTAGCCTAACTTCTTAAAAGTACATATAAAAATGTTAACTTTGCAAAAGACAGGAAACTTTCCCCAGGCTAAAGTCTCTGTTGTAAGATATAGAATTGTAGGGCCGGCCCGGTGGCGCACTGCTTTAGTGCGCCGCTTGGGAAGTGCGGTGGCGCTCCCGCCGAG